CAAGCTGTAAAACATGCCCTTCTATATGAATAAATAATACTTGAACAATTCCAGTTATTAAAAAAAGATGGGATGAATGAATGAAGTGTTGTAGAGCCAAATCTGCCACCAAATGAAGTTATCATATCTCTATTAGAACCCATTTTGCCTCAGATCAGTCTGCAGCAAATCCTTAAGGAAAGACTATCCATTACATAGTTTGACACAGCTGGCAGCTTCCTTGATAGAAGGCCCAATACCAGGAGTGCAAAATAGTTACAACCCAGCTGGAAGATGTTGGCATGGATATGGCACTTCATTACTGAAATCACAAGGGTACTAGCAATGAAAACCAAAATGCGTGAATGAAGCTGTCCTAGGATGCCTCAAAAACCTGACAGGCAAGAATGTGCAGAGGTTGGACTGGAACGTTAAAAGATTTGTGAAGGAGAGATACACTGCCCTTGAAAAGTGACCAGTACCTCAAAGAGTTATGAGATAGCCTCACTGAAGGAATTGCACTTCCCATATACACAGATTCTAGGATGCTCTTCAAAGGACCATGTAGCGACCACAAATTTCTGTGGTCAAAGGGAACATTCATTTGTCCATTACTTTTGTATCACTAAGCATGTCAGCAATTAGATCAAGTGTAGGCAAATCCAGGCTTGGGGGCTGGATGTAGCTCCTTGGGCTTTTTTCTCAGGCCCTCCTCTCTCTCACCACCCTATCCTTCCTTCTCTCTTTCCTTCCTTCTTTCCTCTCTCTCCTTCTCCTTCCTTCCTTCCTTCCTTCCTCTCTCTCCTTCTCCTTCCTTCCTTCCTTCCTTCCTTCCTTCCTTCCTTCCTTCCTTCCTTCCTTCCTTCCTCTTTTTCTTTCCTTCTCCTCTCTTTTCTCCTCTCTCCTTCCTTCCCTCTCCCTCCACTCCTTCTCCCTTTCCTCCCTGCTTTCCCTCCCTCCATCCTCTTATACCCTTCCCTCCTTCCCTTCCTCCCTCCCTTCCTTCTCTTTTTCTTTCCTCTTTCCCTCTTGGAGGATGTTTAGCTGGGAGAAGAGAAGGTAGACAGAGGGAACATTAGAACCATTAGAGTTTCAAAATTTTGGTAGAGAGGGAATATGAGAACCATGTTTCAAGATTTGAAAGGATGTCCCACTGAGGAAGAAGCGGTAAACTGCCTTTCTGTTTCTCTAGAGCAATGGGTTCAAATGGCAGGGAAAGGGATTCGACTGAAAAAATTAGGAAGTACTTCCTGAGAGTAAGAGCTGTTAGAGAATGCCATAGGCTGCTTGGGAATTGTGGAGTCTCCTTCTCTGGAGGTTTTCCTGCGGAGGCTATCTATCAGGAGTGCTTTGATTGTGCCTTCCTGCGTGGCAGGGGGTTGGACTAGATGGCCCTTGGGGGTCTCTTCCAGCTCTAGGATTCTATACCAGTAGTAGGCAATATGGGGTCTCATGAAGACACTTTTTCTTTCCTTTCCACCATCTCATCCTGACTAAGGACAAACCTTTTGGGATCCAAACATTACCCATCTTTCCTTCACTTTCTGCTTCCAAAAGAGAAGAGGAAAGGGCAGAAAGAGGGCTTAGGAAGAACTACCTCCCTCCCAGCCTGCCCATCCCACTCCAGCCCACCATGTGGCCCCCAAGTTAAAAAGTTTGCCAATGCCTGATTTAGAGAGTCAATAATTCTGTGCAAGCAGAAGATGCAAGCATTAGATATCTCTTATGAACTACATTAGATATCTCTTATGAACTAATGATGGTAAATCCCTCTACCTGAGACACTGACGGGTCTTTGGCCGTCAGTTTTGTGCTGCACATCCCAATGCAGCTAGAATTAACCCCTATGTCAGGTTGGATTTGTGAATGGCAGTGCTAAAATGTAGACTTTGTGATTTAAGATCTTCCAAAATCAGATGCTGGACCCAAGAGGTTCAGCCAAAAGCCCAACCAGCAGAAGGTCCCAATGGGAGACCAAAAGTGGAGAAAAGAAGCAAGGCTCTTTATATTTATATGAAGCCCGGCCTATTCAGTTATTTCATCATGCCTCACAATCGCCTTATGCTTGACAAAGGCTCTATGCTCCATGTTTTGAGGTCATGTGGTACCCAATTCACCCCCAGAGTTCTTGAAACAGGAATTCTGTTTCAGGAACCCATCGTTATTCAGAAAGCAGAGCCTTTGGAGACTTCAACAATGTGTGAATGCTCCTTGGAAATGGCAAGAGGCGGGTGGTTTCAGCAAACAGCACTTAACCAGGAACCACGGTGTCCGTTTCTTTCAGTTACATTTTGTCCCACGTGTTCCTCTTGCCTTTCACAAATACAAACAAATCCATTTAACGTTCACCATATTTTGTGCTACTTAGTTGTTAGGTGTGCAATTTCGTTGTTTGAGTTGAAACGTTCTGACCATGAAGCCTTGTAACCCACTTATTTGCAGGTCGTGAAATGCCAAAATCTGCCCTGTGAGTTATGGGTGAATATAAAGAAAGGTACAGAAAAACAAAATTGCGGCATTGTTTGTGAAATTCCAGCTGCCTCTAATCCATCCAGTGGATGTGTTAAGCAGCTGGCTGAGGAACAGAAGGGAGGAGAAAATTAAGCATTGCTACAGAAACCGTTTGCAGAATATTCTGCATAATCACACCAGCAAACCCCTTTAAATAGCTTTGATAAATAAGTAGCTACCTCAAGAAAACATCTGACAGTATACAAAGGGCTGTGTTTCTGTTCATAGCCATCAGGAGAGTCACAATTTATTTTTGAATGTGACAAGCCTATTTTTCCCACTTTAATACTTCAACGTTTAATCACGGATATCAAAGTTCTGAACAACGTGCCATGAAATGTGCAAATCTTTAAGCCAAGAAATAAGTACTCCTTTAGTGGATATTAAATGCAGCCCTCGAGCTCTGTTCTAAAGCAGCATGCAGAAAGAAAAAGGAGAGGTTTCCCACAGTACATCCAGGCATAGGTCAGGGATTTCAAGTGGAAGACTGGGGGTGCCTATGGACAAACTAACTAGTCCAAAGATGGGTTGCTGTGAGTTTTCTGGGCTGTCTGGCCATGTTGCAGAACAAGCATGGGCAAACTAAGGTGCAACCCCTTGGGTGCTTACCTCAGAACCCCTTCATTTTCCTTGTTCTCTTGGCATAAGGACACAGTGGTTCTCCATGTCCTTATGCCAAAAAGATGAGGGAGGGAGGGAGGCACGCAGCAGCTGAGAGTCCTCTGGACTGCTCTCTGTCACTGCGTTCTCATCCTCCTTCCGGCAGAAGGACGGTGTGAGAGGCATCATCTCCATGTCAGGAGGATGGCTCAAGGAAGGCATGGGGGCAGCTAAGAGAACTTTCAGCTATCGCCCGTCTCGCCCTCCTCCTAGCATAATGCCAAGATGACAGCCTGAGGATCAGGGGAGGAGGATCAGGAGGGAGGATCAGAGCAGTCACCACGTGTCTTACCTTTCTCCCAGCGTAAGGATGGGGTGAGCAGACCCGCCCTTATGCCGGAGAACCACCTGAGGATGACCCAGGCCCTGCCCTTTCCTGGCCCTCCCTCTCCCGGACCCAGCCCACCCAGCATGTAATAATAATAAATAATAAAACTTTATTTATACCTCACCTCCATCTCCTCAGGGGGACTCGGGGCAGCTAACATGAGGCCAAGCCCAACAAATGCATAAAGCAAAATAATACAATGTAAAATCATAAAATAATAATAAAATAAAATACAATAAAATACATCAAAGAAGATAATATAAAATAAACACAAGGTGTAATATAAATAAATAAAAACATTGAACCAGGTGGACACCTATACAATGGATAGGATTTTTAAAATCTTGGGTGAGATGGATGAGTGGGGTAATATATCTGGTAGGAGGTTCGGATGGGACAAACAATGGGATTTAATTCACTGAAGGGTGAGATAAAGTGCATAGAAGGACATTATGTACTGAGTTGGTCTGGGTAAGGGATTTGTTGTTAATTCCTCGAAGGCACACCAGAACAGCCAAGTTTTTAGGCTCTTCCTGAAGGTTGCCAAAGTGGGCACTTGCCTAATTTCACCGGGTAGCAAGTTCCTGAGTCTGGGGGCAACCACAGAGAAGGCCCTCTCCCTCGTCCCACAAGTCGCACTTGTGACAAAGGAGGGAGCGAAAGGAGGGCCTCCCCAGATACTTGAAGGGATTGTGCAGGTACATAGACAGAAATGCTGTCACGAAGGTAGGCGGGTCCCAAACCGTTCACGGCTTTGTAGGTAATAACCTGCACCTTGTATTGGGAACAGGAAATGAACAGCAGCCAATGGAGCTCCTTTAACAGAGCGGTGGACCACTCCTTGTAATTTGCGGCAGTTAGAAGTCCGGCAGCTGATTGCTGGACAATTGAAGTTTCCAGGCCACCTTCAAGGGCAGCCCCACCTAGAGTGCACTGCAATAGTTCAATCTAGAAGTAACTAAGTCTGGCCAGATCAGACTTCATGAGGTGCGGTCGCAGCTGGTGAATGAGTGCCTGGCCTTCCTCCCTCCTGGCCTGGCCCTCCTGGCCACACCCGCAATGCAGCTCCATGGCAAAAAAGTCTGTTCATGCCTGTTCCAGAAGTATTCCCTCCTGACATTTGGCCCACATCTATGGCAGGCATCCTCAGAGGTTGTGAGGTCTGTTGGAAACTAGGCAAGTGGGGTTGATATTTCTCCTCCTTCCTCCTCTCTGCCACCATCGAGAATCCAAAGATGGATGGAATGCTTCAGCTAAAGCCAGGAGATGTTCACAAGTCTCAAGGATTCATATGGGCCAACAGAACTGTTCCAATTTAAAACTCAAGGCTTTGACACAATTAGCTCCCCGCTTGTATAAAGCAAACCTCGCAAGAGTGGAAACTTTGGAAGTCACACTAGGTTTCAAGATGGCTCAACTTTCTCCAAGATGAAGGGCTTTTGCCAAGGAAACCCACAGATTCAAAGCATTCCCATTCTCACAATACAGAATGAAACAATTGTCCCCCAACCCTAAAACTTACCATGTCTGCTCTTTTCTTCTGGTTTCCTGCTTCCTCCAAAGTCTGGGACCACTGGGCCTTCAAGACAAGAAAGAAAAATCATTCAGCAAAACAAAACAAGACACAAGAGACGAAAACCACTATTAATATAGCAAAGAGTTGTAAATAGAAAGTTCCTAGTTCAAATGTCACCTTGGACTGGCTAGAAATTCCACAGATATTTTAATGGGTGAAAGATCACAAGGTGAAAATCTTCTCAAATCCAAGAGGGTATCCCTGTGCAGATATCCAGGGAAGTCATGCTGCCTCTCTATTCTACCTTGGCCAGACCACACCTGGAATCACACCGTGTCCAATTCTGGGCACTGCAATTGAAGGGAGATGTTGACTCTAAGCTGGAATGTGTCCAGAGGAGGGCTACTCAAATGATCAAGGGTCTGGAGAGCAAGCCCTATGAGGAGCGGCTTAAAGAACTGGGCATGTTTAGCCTACACAAGAGAAGGTTGAGAAGAGACATGATGTAGGCCATGGATCAAGATGTGAGGGGAAGTCATGGGGGGGGGAGCAGGCTTGTTTTCTGCTGCTCGGGAGACTAGGACGCAATGGAACAATGGCTTCAAATGACAGGAAAGGAGATTCCACCTGAACATTAGGAAGAACTTCTTGACTGTGTGAGAGAGCTGTTCAGCAGTGGAACTCTCTGCCCCAGAGTGTCGTGGAGGCTCCTTCTTTGGAGGCCTTTAAGCAGAGGCTGGATGGCCATCTGTCGGAGGTGCTTTGAATGTGATTTTCCTGCTTCTTGGCAGAATGGGATTGGACTGGATGGCCCACCAAGTCTCTTCCAACTAGCTATTCTATGATTCTATGAAATGATCAGAAATACACCATAACTTGAAAAAAACTGTTGGGATTTGAATGTTTCCCAGTCAAAACATGAGTATCAAAGCTTAAGGCACAACAGAGGAGAGTGTGTGCAACAATGACAGAAAACTCAGTTCGTGTGGGTTTTTTCGGGCTATATGGCCATGTTCTAGAGGCATTTCTCCTGACGTTTCGCCTGCATCTATGGCAAGCATCCTCAACAATGGCAAGCATCCAACAACAATGACAGAAAAGTCACATTTTGATGATACCACCATATACACAATGACAATTACTTGATCCTCCAGGTTGTCTCCTTTTCTCACAGAAAAGGAGTGATTGGAAAATATTTCAGAGGTTAATAAACTTTTGCGACAAAAATAAATCAGGTAACCTTTGGAAAGAAAACTTCTTGAATGGGAAGATAGCCAGGGCAACATGAGACTTTGTGGAAAGTCTTGTGTAGAAGGTCATCAGCAAGAGGAATTCCAGGCTCAAACTGGTTTTCTCTCCTTATTTTGAAAGGAACAGCATGCAAACAAACTCCTATTTCTCCTCTGCTCTTTCATGACACCATGTTAGAGACCAATCATCTTCCCTGCAGCTCCACACAGAAAAGCTTGAAGAAAAAACTCAACTTATGACACAATAACTCGTTTCAACCAATCTAAAGACACCCAACAAGAATGGGAGCCTTTCATACAGACTAATTCATGTCATTGAAGTCAGTTGTTCATTAAAACTCGCCAGGGTCTTCTGAAAAACATCCCCGCACGACACAAAATGATCTTCACAAGCACATTACCCAAAAGCAGAGCTGAACAGCAAGTGATTCACTACAAAGAAGTGGTGCCATTAGAGGAGTGCAGAGAAAGCCACAAAGACACCAAAAGCTAATAATCATACAGAAAGGGGACAAAACAAAAATTACTGACTCAAGAGCTCTTCTCACCAAACAAACATAACAATTTTATTTATTTATTTATTTACGACATTTAGACCCCGCCTTTCTCAATCACAGGCTCAAGGAGGCTTTACAACAGTGCTTCTCAACCTGGGGGTTGGGACCCCTGAGGGGGTGATGAGGGGGTGTCAAAGGGGTCGCCAAAGACCACCAGAAAACATAGTATTTTCTGGTGGTCATTGGGATTCTGTGTGGGAAGTTTGACCCAATTCTATTGTTGGTCGAGTTCAGAATGTTCTTTGATTATAGGTGAACTATAAATCCCAATAACTACAACTCCCAAATGTCAAAGTCTATTTTCCCCAGACTGCACCAGTATTCACATTTGGGCATATTGAGTATCCGTGCCAAATTTGGTCCAGATCCATCATTGCATGAATCCACAGCACTCCTCTGGATATAGGTGAACTACAACTCCCAAGGTCAATGCCATCAAAACCCTTCCAGGGTTTTCTAATTGTCATGGGAGTTCTGTGTGCGAAGTTCAGTTTAAATCCATTGCTGGTGGAATTCAGAATGCTCTTTGATTATAGGTGAACTATAAATCCCAGCAACTACAATTCCCAAATTACAAGATCAATCCTCCCCCAACCCCACTAGCATTCAGATTTGGGCATATTTGGTTTTTGTGCTCAATTTAGTCCAGTGAATGAAAATACATCCTGCATATCGGATATTTACATTACGATTTATAAAGTAGTAAAGTAGCAACGAAAACAATATTATGGTTGGGGGTCACCACAACATAGGGAACTGCATTAAGGGGTCACGGCATTAGCAAGGTTGAGAACCACTGCTTTACAACATAGGCAGCTATTCGATGCCATTAAAAACAGTGCAAAATTACATGAATATTTAAAATATATATAAATAAAAATGTCATGTTCGTTTGTGGGATTAGCATAGCTCAAAAACCACTGCACGAATTGACACCAAATTTGGACACAAGACGCCTATCAGGCCAATGAGTGACCATCATTCATAAAAACACCGAAAAACACAGCAGAAGAGACTTAAAGAGCAAAAAAAAAACCATTACAACACATGCACAAAACCACATATACACAAATATACACACAAAACACATATACACACACTGTGCTACAGCAACACGTGGCAGGGACCAGCTAGTAGGATTATAAAATACATCAAAACAATTAAGACAATATCACCATTGTTAAACCATACCATTCATAATCGAAATCCGGGCCATTCTGATAGTTCTTGTGCATCATTCTGTATCTGTCTATTGCACCGATTCTGCAAAGGCTTGATCAAAGAGCCACGTTTTCACTCTTTTACAGAAGGTCAGGAGGGAGGGGGCTGATCTAATATCCTTGGGAAGGGCCGAGGGGCCGCCACTGAGAAGGCCCTGTCTCTCATCCCCACCTGTTGCACCTGCGAAGAAGGTGGGACCGAAAGAAGGGCCTCCCCAGACAATCTCAAACTTCAAGATGGTTCATAGGGGGAGATCCATTTGGACAGGGAAGCTGAGCCAGATCCAGGACTTTATAGGCTAAATACAGCACTTTGAATTGAGTTCAGTAGCAGACTGGCAGCCAGTGGAGCTGACAGAAGAGGGTGGTTGTGTGCTCCGTGGACGCCGCTCTAGTGAGCAATCTGGCTGCCGCTCATTGGACCATTAGAAGCTTCCAAAGAGTCTACAAAGGCAATCTCATGTAGAACGTGTTGCAGTACTCTATTCGGGATGTAACCAGAGCGTGGACTACTGTGATGATGAGGCAGCCCTGGATGCTTGGAAAACTACAACTAAGTCACAAGGCTTGGCTTTGCTCACCCAGTAATCATATCCCATTATTAATGGAAGGGGTGTTCAAACTGAATTTATGTCCCTCAAATCCAGTGGTTCTCAGCCTGTGGGTCCCTAGGTGTTTTGACCTACAACACCCAGAAATCCCAGCCAGTTTGCCATATGTTAGGATTTCTGGGAGTTGAAGGCCAAAACATCTGGGGACTCACAGGTTGAGAACCACTGCTCTAATCTAAATTCAGCACCTAGTCTGAAACCAGGGAATTACATATACCGCATACCGTAAAGACCATAGTTCCAATGACAAGAGCCACAGGAGGGCCATAATAAAATTACTGCAAAGTTTGTACTTGAAACAATGGGAGGTTGTGGAATCTGGAGACAAATTCTCCTCCAATATTTAATCAGACTGAATTGCATCAGCAGGTTGGAGTCAACCCTGAGGTACAAAGAGGGAGATGAGAAGTTTTCTTGGCAACTATGATCACAAAGTTCTTCACAGGCAGAGACTGCTTTGATCTTCGCCCCAAATCAAAACAGTAAAAAGAGAAGAAAAAAGGAATCCTCTGATATCTGAAAAGAAACCCATCTGAATAGGATGTGCATGTGCGAAATGCCAACTAACAGGGCGCCGTGTGCTGTACCAGTTCTGTTCTCACATCGGCAATCTGATCAGACTATCTACTAACCAGGCTTTGATATGCAAGAAGCAATTGTGGTTGATTCACCCATATTGAAAGGAGCCCCCGGTGGCTGACTGATAGGTCAGCGGTTCGAATTTAAGGAGAGCAGGTGAGCTCCCTCTGTCAGCTTCAGCTCCCCATGTGGGGACATGAGAGAAGCCTCCCACAAGGATGGTAAAACATCAAACACCCAGGAATCCTTGCAGACAGCCAATTCTCTCACACCAGAAGTGACTTGTAATTTCTCAAGTCGCTCCACACACACACACAAAAACTCCAGATTGAAGTTACCATTTTAGCCAACCTATATCTTTTTTCTAGCTTAACCCAAAGTGCCAAGAGGAAGGCACATCAAGCCAACCCTGACCGGATTCACTTTCCACCTGGAAGCTGATATCCTCACTGCAGGAGAGCATGCTGATCAAGAAGAGGGCTCCACAATCACCTATGAACCCACGGCCAAGACACTACACTTGGAGGACCATCATCCTTGGACTACGAGGATTGTAAGTAATGAGCTGTGTTGTTGGAGGAAAGTTCTGAGAGTGCCTTGGACTGCGAGAAGATCCAACCAGTCCATCCTCCAGGATATAAAGCCCGGCTGCTCATTGGAGGGAAGGATACTAGAGACAAAGTTGAAGTCCTTTGGCCACATCATGAGGAGACAGCAAAGCCTAGAGAAGACAATGATGCTGGGGAAAGTGGAAGGTAAAAGGAAGAGGGGCCGACCAAGGGCAAGATGGATGGATGGCATCCTTGAAGTGACTGGACTGACCTTGAAGGAGCTGGGGGTGGTGAC